AGATCATGATACGGTTTGAGATTTATCATTTTACTTTTCTTACGAAAGGGTTTATCACTCTACTAATTAAGGTTTATCTTTCTTCTTTTCGTTAATAAGTATATTATTCTACGGGTAAAGGTTGATTCTTCCCTCCATTGAATTACAGGGTATATTATCTTGCGGATAAACCTAATCTTTATGTCGTTTACTTTGTAAGGTTTATCAGTGCACGGTTAAGGATTGATTTACCTCCACCATCCTGCAAAGGGTTTATCATTACACGGACAATGGTTGATCACTTGCTATCTTTCTGCGAAGGGATCATCACTGCACGAATTAGGGTTGATCATCTTCCACCTTCGTACGAAGGATTGATCGTTATACGGATGAAGAGTGTTCATCTTCTATCTTCTTAAGAAGGGTTCATCACTGTACGAATCAGGGTTGATCATCTTCCACCTTTGTACGAAGGGTTTATCAATGTATTCTGAAGAATTTATTATTCGTAACTGAGTATTGATTAATTCTTCATTTATGATAGAAAAGAAATTTTGTCAGCAATTTGTAATGCATAACGCAATAATAAGTTTGAGACTGTACTGACAATGATTAAGACATTGAGCAAAAAGTACGTAATGAAATATGTGCCGAATTTATTTTTATATTTGACATCTTTCGTGAAAATATTGAATTTTTCATTTGTTGTACGTTTATAAATTTTAGAAGAAGATATCACCATCTATCGAACATTTCTGTCATTAGATAAAATAACTATAGCTGATATAAATGGACGAACTATACAATCGAAGACGAAACGAAAACAATTAGAAATAACCTTGTTTTTGTATATCTTTGATATTATAATGATGATCATTTCTTTAGATACTTATAAACAACATTTTTATTATTTTAGATAATTTAATTATTTAGTATGAATTGGTCTTGTGAACAAGTTATTACTTGGTGCAAATTATTCATTGATGATGATTCAATTTTATCGAGATTTGAAGGTCAGTCTGTTCTAGTTTATTACGCAAAGGCACGTGTATTTTTGTCAAATGAAAGCTCATTTTATATTTGTCATAACGAATAGATGACCATTATGCATGTTAGAATTTTTTGTTATTAACATTTATCTAGGTTATTCGTCTTCTTAAGTTTTTTTTAAAGCAAAGTAAACGCATGCGTTTGTGGAAGAAAAGAAATGAATTGTTTATATTTTATTCAATCCAATCATTTACAATCATGTTTTTCTATTCGTCGATCTGTCTTTACAAATTTGTAAATAAATAAATAAACAAGATTCTATATATTTTATTATTATAGAAAATAAATAACTCATTTAATTTTGATTTTTTTCATTTATCAAAGTCATAATGTCATCATTTAGTTGTTCATTTTGTCTAACAAATCGACGTTTCAGCAGTTTTGCCAAAATGTTTCAACACATAACGTTGTACCATCAAAATGAGCCGAATTTCAATATCACATGTGATTTACATAATACATGTGGAGTTTTATACAAAACATATTCTGCATATAAAGCTCATGTTTATCGACAACACATGTCTGAACTCCATTTGAAAAACAAACCGAACAATAGTTCGAATGTTATTCCTAATGAAAGTCAACAACAAGAAAGTATGAATAACTCAGATATGGGATTAGGAACAATTAACAATGCTGATGATACATTCGATTTTATTACTGATGATATTGAATCAATTCTGGTGAATGATGATTATGAAACGAATTTTTGTAGTCCTGCATTATTATTTGATTCTATTCACAATGCCAAAAGCACTTCTGAATTGTTGTTGATTATCAAACGATCGTATATGATGTTTCTTTTGGAATTACGTGAACAGTATTTATTGCCGCAGGGCGTTATGAATATCATTTCTACGTATATTGTAACGCTTATTCGTCATTTAGAACTTTTACTGAAGACAAAAGCATTTCTTCCATCTACAGATATTTATTCAACTTCAGCATCTTCATTACCAAAACAAAATCAAAAGATTATTGAAATTTATCAATTACACGAAACATTAAATGATTTATCAAATATAATCGAATCAATTTCTAAAAACAATTACCAATTCATTAAGCATTGTGAGAAACAATTCGATTACATTTCACCAGAAGAAATACTATTATCATCACCTGATGAAGATGTCATGCATGGTTATTTCATTCCAATCGATAGAACATTATCGTCGATGTTGAAATCTCAACCACTTCTATTAGAAATTTCAGAAAATATTCAACAACAACGAATTAATGTAGAAAATGATTCAGATCTTATGTTTTCGATTAGAGACGGATATTACGGTTATCGATTTGATCAAGATAGTCTTTTAATCCAGCTATATTTGGATGATATTGGTTTGACGAACCCACTTGGTGCAAAACGTCATAAACATAAAATGACTATGGTTTATTTTTCTTTGGAAGATGTTCCTAATAAATACCGATCCAAACTTGATTTCATTCAATTAGTTGCTGTTTGTGACAGCAAAACTCTCAAAGTAAATTTTCTCATGATAAGCTCGAACATATACGGGTAAAATTATAATTTAGAAAAAGCTGTTTTGATAGTACTAATACAAAATAAGAAATGTTAGTTTTATTAGTTCTTTTTTGTAAACGTTAACTAGAATGTTAACTTGATATATTTCGTTTAAAAAAGACAAAAAATATCAATATGAATTTGTATAACATCTTATATTTCTTTTTTGAGGATGACATCAAAGCTCAGCGTTTCTTTGCGCCGATAATTGAAAATTTAAACAAGTTACAATTACATGGTATTTCAATTAATGGCATTCATCTTACATTTTCTTTTTCTACCCTTGTCGCTGACAATCTAGCATCCCATTTTGTAGGTGGCTTTCAATCTTGTTTCAATAGTGGTCATTTTTGCAGAAGATGTTATATTACATATCCAGAGAAGAATTTACCAATTTCATTATCAGAAATTCCAACTCGATCAATGATTGACCACGATGATCTGGTTGATAAGATCATCAATGATCCTAATAGAGTACCTTTGAAGGATGTTATTGGACCAAGCCCTTTACGGGAGCTGATTGGTTTTCATCCGATAACATCCTTACCACGAGATCTTATGCATGATTTTATTGAAGGGATATGTCCAATGATAATAATTTCTTTACTCAAACAAGCGTCTGCATTACATATTTTAACATATCGTGAGAATACTTTTGTTTTTTTAACCTGAGTCTGACAAATTTTCGTCTGTAAATAGATAATCATGCATTTTTTACTTACAACAAAAAAGCAATCTTAAGAAATGCTTTATATTCGATTTTTAATGAGTCAAATGTAGGAGAATTAATTTCATTAAATGAATATAGAATTGATTAAAATCTTTTTATATTCTAAACAATAGCAAATTTTTGTTTAAAATCGTAGTAAACCATTTTTAATATTCTTTTGAGTAATTTCTTCTTACTCCTCTCGTTGATTTATATTTTTCACATTTGAAGTTCGTATACAAGAACGTATGGAAAAATTTCAATATGGAAAATTTGATTCCAACGATCAACCACCTCCATTACTTGTAAAACACCTTCAAAAAGATCATATGGTTGCCACAGCGGCTCAAAAACTATGTTTTTTCAAGCTTTTTCCTATCATTTTCAATGATATAGTTGATCTTTTACCTTCATTTATAGTATATAAAGTATTACGAGAAATACTTGACCTGATATTATCATATCCATTTCGAAAAAAATGGCTACATGTACTCGGTGAATTATGTGATACTTTCCATGAAACAATGCTAAGTCATTTTCCAGATAAAATAAAACCAAAGGCGCACTTTATTCGAGAATACAAATACATGATCAATGATTTTGGTCCTGCCGTTAAACAATGGTGCTTTAGATACGAAGCTAATCATTCATACTTCAAGAAAATAGCAGTTCGAACGAGCAATTTCAAAAACATTCCAAAGATGCTTGTCACACGTTATCATTTAAAACAATGTTTAACTTTTGGTCATTTATCTCGATTACAATCAACTCAATATCCAATTGGAATTAAAAAAGTTCGAAGTACTTGTTTTGATTCACTAATGAAAGATATTTTATTGAAACATTTCAATCATATTGATTTTGAGAAAGATTTATATCAATGCAATACACTAATTTATGATAACGTTGAATATCGTCGATGTGGAGTATATGTTATAGATTTAAAGCCATCTCATGAACAACCAATATTTGCTCAAACTATTATGATTATAAAAAAGAATGAAAAATGGTGGTTATTAGTTGATATTCTTGATACAATTTGTTATGATGAAAAATTATCTGCATGGCAAATACAATCTTTAGCTCGATATTCTATGATTGATCCAAATGATTTAGTATATTATTACAAAGGATTGGATATTTACACGGTGAACAATTTGAGTTTTGTTACATTTATATCACGTCTAACATTACATTAACCATAAAATGAACATTTAATGATTCAAACGCTTATTCTCATATAGATTTTCTTATAGCTTCATTTTTAAACTTTCATTAATCTTTTTTTTATAATTTTCATGTGTCTGATAGTACCAGATCTTTTTCAATCGCAATATGTATCAGTATACTGATACATATTGCGATTGATGAAGAAATTGGTTATGATTCATAACTAATGAGACTTTATGATTTGATTTTGTCTTTGCATCTTGAAATACTATATACTTGTATTAGTTATAAAACTCTTTCACATTGCATGATTTTTTTTATAACAACACATACTAATCCAGCTTTCTAACTTTCTCAACTAAGTTTTTTTCAAAGAACAAGTCTTTATTCTTATCATTATATTTAAATATAAATTTTTATTTTTTTCCAGAGCATGAGGTAGATGGTCCAATGCTCAAGATGTTGAATAATGTTGAACGAATATCACCGTTAATACCAAAATTAAAACAACAGTTAATTTTCTTAGACGAACGTGAGAAATTATTCCGAAGAGTTGATCATGGTTCAATTTCATGTGATAGTCCATTATCTAATACATCTACAATACCTAAAACACCAATTTTTACTTTACTAAATGCTCAAACATTACCTGCTGTTTCAGTTAATTCAAAATCATCATCTTCAATTAATTTATCAAACACAAATCTTTCATCAACAATGTCTATAGATAATTCAACAACTGATCAAGTTATTATTGCTGCAGATGTATCTTCATCTTTTCCAGATGTATATGAAGTACCAATATTACCAAAAGCTTTATTGAAAAATATTGAAGCTGGAAATCTCACAAGTTTTAGTCCACATTGTCAAGGTCGACAAATACTAATCGATGCAGTAGTTCATGATCTGAGGGAAAAATATAATTTACTGTAAGTTATCTCTTCATTGAAATACATATAGGCGTCATGTTCTTCTATATTTTATAAATCGATTTCTTTTCTACTCTTTTTCGACAGTTTTCTATTAAAAATTCACAATATTAACTTTTATAATTGAGTACGTTGCTGATAATTTATATTTCAACAAATATGAGAAAAGAAACCGTTAATTTAAACAATTTTTTGTCGAAATATTTCAAACGATAAGACGAGATTTCTCTCTATCAAGGAATTATCGATAATTTTACAGCTTTGAAACTTGATCAATTTTTTATTTATTTTTAATTAATACATTGTGTAGTTCAAAATTGAACGATCAACATAACACTATTGGTTTTTCTTTGATAAAGCTTTTTCAATTACTATAGAACTTCACATTCATTCTTGTTATTGATTTTTTTATTAGCTATCTATCAAAAACACAATATAATGTCGTTGGTTCTGCTCTTGTACGATGTTTGAAATTACCCTCAACACCAGAAAATTTAGTAAGTATAGACTGATTTATTACAAAATAATTTATTTTCTCAAATTTAAGGCCATTTGGAAAGATGCATTGCAAACCAAATTAAAACGAACACGTGCTGATCATCCAAATACCAGTCTTGTTCAAGAATTTCGATTAAAATATTCAAAGTTGGGATCTGGACGTCCAGTTAAACAAAAAACTGGTGAAATTGCTGAACGTGATAGACATAAACAGGTAACTAATAATTAAGTATTGCTTATCACTTCATTTTTTTCTAGATGGTAATAATGCCGTATAACAATCAAATATCTGATGAAATTCAATCAATGGTGGTACAATTACAAAATTTTTCTCAACTAGATGTTAATACTCAATTACGTCTATGGAAAGAAACATTTACCTTTCGTCGACAAGTCGTGCGAGATCAATCAACAAGTGATATTATGAAAAATTTTCCTGCGTATAGTGATGCTTTCTTGGTAAATTAGTTCCTCAAGATTATCTCTTTACATTAAAGAATTTTTTTCTATTATAGGTCTTCGAAGAAGTAAAAATGCTGATGAACGTCGACTTAAGTAAAGAAGTTCGACGACAAATTCCTATTTTATTAGATAAATTAGCCGAAACTCCTGTATTCATTGCTGGTAAATAAAAATAATAATAAATATTCATGAATAAACAATATCTGCTTTTAGATTCACTTTCTATTCGATTAATTAAAGTTTTATGTCGAAAGTTCGGCGAAACTGTTCAACATATATTCTGCGAAAAGGTAAGCTTCATCTTTTATGTTCAAAATTTTATTCAAAAACAGATATGAAATTAGTTTAAATTGACCCCGATCAATAAACGATTGACCTAAATTGATTGAAAATACATAAATAAGATTTTAACCTGCAGTTTTTAAGAAAGATCTTTATAACTGGTCTGCCTCCTGTATCTATTGCATAGTCTCTATTGATTGACGTGTATTCATGTTTAAGACTCATATTGCAATGATTTATTTATAATTGTAAATTTTGTCGATTGTTGACTTAAAATACTAGACATCTTTTAAACATGTTGACACAAGAATGTGATATATCACAGCATACTTCTTATTTGTCTTTATTTGTAAAAATTAAAAATATCAATTTTTATAGGAACCACCAACACCATATCCAACATTGGTCTTGATTGATGATATTATTCATATTTATGTTGACTTTCATCCAATTCTTTCAACAAATTCACCAGATGATGCTATTGGTCTTCTTATCTCAATGTATTCTATCTTTGAACTATCATTTGATAAAAAGAGTAGAACCATTCGATTTTTATATTGTGTTTTATATGGTGAGAAACAATTTCTCTCTAATTCAATTCGATTATTGATAAAGGAGGAGAATATTAATATTCATCGAGAACGTCTTCAACTGTCATCTATCTCGTCCTATTCTGTGTCGAACAATACAACAACACTTATTAGTGAATCTCAAAGTCAATTACAAATTGTTACAAATTTATTGAATCATTCTACTGATGAACATAATTCTTATATTATTAATCAAATGACAGAATCAACGACTTCGATTGATAGTTCTCATTCAAGTGTAGATATGACTTCTGCTACAAATGAGTAAGTTATATCGTTCTAATTCATTTATTTCTTAAACATTTTTTTCTTATATAGATTCAACAATAACAACGAGAACGTGTCGCCATCTGATTGTAGTTCTCAACCTCAAACAAGAAAGAAACGAAAACGTAAACAAAATTCAAATGAAGAAGAACAGGATGATACATTGATGAACAATGCTCTACAAGATAATATTGAATTTCCTCAAAGTCGTCTTCCACTTACCATTATGACAAATTCAACTGTTGCATTACAACAAACAAAACGTAAACGACGAACTTGATCTCAATGTCTTATATGTTCACGTAATCGATCAAATAACTTTT